CAGATTTTCTATTTATTGTAACAGTGACCTTGACCTTTGACCTTCGGACCTGAAAAGCAATCCCAAGCAAGCTCTTTTGGTAAGGAAGCACTGCATGAAGTTTGATCGGCCCAAGAAAACTCAAGTTATCACACGAAAACCTCTGTGGGGACGACGCCGACATAGCAATACCTATGTGTCACCAGCTTTTCGCAGGCAACACAAAAAGGGCCTTTCTAACAAGAGACGATGTCAATGGCGCCTAATTGAGAAACAGCAGCAGGCAGGTTTTGCTTTCCCAAAAAGACAGGGAGAAGAAGTCATTATCATTAATTTTCTTAATCAGTTAACAGAATTGCTGCCCTGCAAGGAGATGGAAATCCTACTTATATACAACTGAGGGAGTCAAGTGATCTACCATATGTTGATAGGGGAGATGGGAGCCCTGCAGACTTTAAGAGGAAGAGGGGAGTCAAGTGATGTTCATGGGGAGACAGGATCATCACTTCTTTGAAGGTGTAAAGAGACTTCCTCAGATTAGGTTGCAAATTAGCCCTCATTCACAAATAAGCACTTTGGCAACTGACCTTTGTTCCTTGCAAAAGGGTAGGTGTCTGCAATTAAGCTCCCTGCTCATAATTTTATTTCTCTGGAAGAAAGGTCATGGATGTTAATTTCTGTTCCAAACCTTTTCCAAACCTTAGCTAAATCGGTACAAAATTTAATTAGCCCAAGCTGAAAAACTAAAAATAATTGAGTCACTGAATTGGGCCAAGTAGTAATTTATGTATTTAAGCTGTTATTTAAGACAGGGGCATTGTAGACATGAACGGAGAAAAGTGTCTTGCTTTGTTGAGCGGTGAGAACGGAGCATGGCTAGAATTGGTCTCAATTGTGGTCCTTTATTCCATCCCGTCTGCGATTATAACACAGGAAAAGTGTTGGTAAAACCAAAATAGTCACTGTTAAAGCTCCTAGATATGAACAAATTACAGATATTAGTCAAATTAGTATATGCATAGCTGCCTTGACCTTTTCTTAAAGGGGGTGGGGGTTAAATTTAAGATTGGTTTAGATCTGATTATCATCATTTGAATTTCACCATTTTCACAAAATTTCTTTCTCTTATCTCTTTATAGCTACTGCGATGATCAGTGAACTTGACAGATATCCAAAATCTCAACAGGGATATTCCTCTTAAAGGGGCATCAGCCATCCAAGTTTTTAGTGTTGTTAAAGAGATTGTGTCCATAAACCAACACTTTCCTAAATTTGTATATTTATAGCCACTGTGACCTTGACCTTAAACCTTGTGACCCAAAATTAAAAGGCATTTTCCCTTTCCCAACTAGGGTTATCATTCATCTACAATTCACTCATATAGAATTAACTTTTCTAAAGTTATCATCTAGAATTCGTCAATTTGGCAAAATTTCAAATATTTGTTTTGCTATGACCTTGGCACTTGACCTAGTAATCTCAAACTTAATTGTGATATTTGTCTTTTCAAGGGAGATAATCCATTTAATTTGATCTGATCTTGAGATAGAGGTCTCAGATGAGGAACTAGCAATTTTCAAAAATATCTCCAATGATGAAGATATCAAACAGCATAATAAGGACCCTAGATGAGAACTAGAAACATCTGCACACCTAACTTGCACTATCTCGGAGAAAATTACTGAACGTGAATAAAATATGTCAAATGTTAAACAATACTTTATCCCTTATTAAATTTCTAAAAGAACCAGAGATGGTGTCAAAGCCAGCAAATACTCGCCTGTTTAAATTTTTATCGTATTTAAAAATTTGTTTGTAAAAATGTTAAGTTCAAAACAGGTCAAAAGTGTAAAAGAAATTGAAATTATCTTTTAATTCTAACTTCACTTCATCAATATCTTACCGCACAGGAACCTCCATGCCAAATATCAGCATCGTAGTACCCATATCTAATTAATGACAAGCTTCTAAATAACAGGTAAAACTTTTAACATTTTCATGCCGACGCTGACGCCAGGCGTAACGCTATAGCTCTCTGTTCTTCGAACAGGCGAGCTAAAAACATGGCAAAGCAATTCTGAAATGGCATTGGAACATTAGGAATGTATAATAGAAATGAACATTGGGACTATAACGGGAAATGTTCCCACTACATAAGTCAAGATTACGATAGTCTTTTAGAGAAGAGTTAAATTATGCCAATAACAGGCCATTCATGGTGTTCCCTGATGTACAGCTCTAACACTGTGAGTTAAAAGTGGAATGTGTACTTCAATAGATATATGTCAAGACAAAAGTACACCCATGAAATTTTGGATAGTTTTGAACCAAAAAATACAATATGGCGCATGTACAAACACAAAGACATGTGATTCCTGACTAACTTAGAAGGTTCGGCCCCTGGTAAGTAATATGGACAAGTAACATCAACAGATATAACAAACACAAGGGCTAATATAAGATTTGAATACCCATCTAACTTGTACTGGAGGCATAGAAAATGTCTGTATGCGGTAAGGTAATGGTTTAGTTCGGTAAGGCAAGGACTTGCATGTTGGGCTTTGGACGAGGATAATGTCACATTAGAACAATATTGTAAAACCTTTAATCTTGTCACCTTTGCTGAAATTGCTCAAATATTAATTATAGAATTCTTTTACAACACAATGATACTATTTCCATTTTTAGATAAAGATGTGTACTAAAATAAATCTTGAAAATGGAAATTAGTCTATTGTTAATGGAGACAGGAAACTTAAATGACAAAAGGTCAAACTGAAAATTAAAAAGAATTGTTTGACAAAAGTTATGTAACAGGGGATATGAATGCAATTTGAACAGCAAAAAGAAAACACTGAAATAATAAACTTGTCAATTTTTAACAAAAACAGGTAAACTTGGTCAAATTTCAAATTTTTAAATACTCACTAACATGAGAATGAGTACAAACCTTTACTGCACACTGTCATTGACATGTAATAAAGGGAGGCAATACAACCTGTAGAGAACCACTCTGATCAATTATCTAGCATCGAAATGAATGTGATGGTTATGCTATTGCGTCAACATTGTAACTATGCTGTAAATTTATGTACAACAATATTCAACAGTGTATGTATGCTGTAAGTTTATGATCAACACAATCTAACATAATGATTATGATGTAGGTTATATATAAATATATATGCAATCAATATTGTTACTATGTTTAAGTACAACAATATTCATGTACTTTCACTTATGAACAACAAGAATTGACAGCTATGTTGATTATCTATATTGCTTCTAGTACACAAACAGGCCGCATCACACAAATGCTTCAAAATGACCAACAATATTCAGTCAAGGGTCGGGCATGCTCATCACAAAAGCACAACATATCATCATACAGTACAAACATCAAACAAGCTTAGGAATTAAAAAAAAAAAAACAAAGGCAAAGAGAGAAAAGATAGAAAAAAAGACAAGAAAATGAAGATAAAATTTCTGTAATGTCTGCGTCCCCCGGATGGTAGTATATGTATGGGAGGTTCATGTGACCTGCTGTGTTAACTGGTGCGAGGACAAACCTACGGGAACAGCCACTGTTCAGTTTGGATGGTCACCCGATCACCTCACTAAAATGAACTTTCTGTATTATCTATTTTCATTTCAATACTGAAATCTGCCAGATGATTTATCTTTTAAAGCTAATATGATTGCACTGGCGATTACAAAGTACTGGTGACGGTTGATATCCAAGCTGTCCACTGGCTGGCTGGATTAGATGTTAGGGCACCAGATGACCACACACTGACCACTAATACAGTAAGAGGAGTGAAGCCTAGAGGTGTACAGCACAAATGGTAACACACTGTGTCCACTAACAGTACCCAGACTGCGGTTGATGTGGCGAACTCCGAAGACGATTTATAGAAACCTTTCTAAAGCTGGATTTGTCTCGGACTAAGAAGCATGTTTTTCTTTCTTTATATTTTGCACAACTAGCAACTACATTGTCATATCTAAAGAATTCTGAAGAAGCACAGCATGTCTTGTCTCAGTATTCTGTCTCCAGTTGATCTTGTTTAATATCCTCAAAACTTGTAGAATACACTATGATGCACAAGTCTTATGTGCCTAATTGTCTACAAAGCACGCAGTTCCATCAAATGGCAAAACTACAAGTCTAGTGATAGTCACATGGCTAATATTCTCCAGTATGTAATTGTCACGAGGTTACAAGTCCAGTATGTAATTGCCACGAGGCTACAAATCTAGTATGTAATTGTCACTAGACTACAAGTCCAGTATGTAATTGTCACTAGACTACAAGTCCAGTATAATTGTCACTAGATGTAATTGTCACTAGACTACAAATTTAGTATGTAATTGTCAATAGGCTTCAAGTCAAGTATGTAATTTTCACGTAGCTACAAGTTTAGTATGTAGTTGTCACTAGACTACAAGTCTTGTATGTAATTGTCATGAGGCTACAATTCTGATGTCTTTGTCATGGGGCTACAAGTCAAATATGTAATTGTCACATGGCTACAAATCAAGTATGAAAATTTCACAAGGCTACAAGTCTAGCATGTAATTGTCATGGGCTACAAGTCTAGTGTGTAATTGTCTGCAAACGCTTAACATTTGTATTTGTAAAATTTAACGATGGTTTAGATTTAGACCAGTTCCTTTTTTCAGTTGAAAGTTTATGAGCAAAGTCAAGCATGTCTTCAATGAAAGGGCGGAACAGTTATTTCAGGATCACAGAAGCCAAGTCAAGGAAAAGGATGAACAGCTATTTCAATAACATAGAAGCTAAGTCAAGGAAGACAAGTCTTTTCTCCCCTTACAACACTTGTTCTGTTTTAAAACTAGCTTTCACTAAAACTAACTAGCTGTAAAGTAATTTCAACTACTGTTAATGGTCAACTACTGTCAACTGTCCTGGTAGCAACTAGCAAGTACTGTATAGTCGAGGAGCCAAGTCAAGCATGACTACCATTGACTGTCCCTACAGCGTGTCTAGTCCTACGTACCGTTGTTGCTGTTTGTTTTACACAGTCGGTGGTTCATATGCTGACTGTAGGAGCCCGAGTGGGAGAAGCGCTTGCCACAGCGCCCACATCTGAACGGTTTCTCGCCGGTGTGCAGACGTTTGTGCTCAGTCATATGGTGTTTGTGCTTAAATGCCTTCCCACAGATGTCGCACGGGTAACGACGCGGACCTAAAAATAACGCCAGTAACACATCACATACAACAGTTTCCTCACCTAATGATGCTACCAAACATTGTTGTATAAACAGTACCACCTTGAATTGAGGAGTTCTGCAGTGCAGCACCTAGACTATGCAATGTTTCCCAGCTGAACTCACTGAGAACAAAAAACTTCTCACGATTGTATCCTCTACACAAAAAAAACTTCTGAAACTTAGAAATGGTTAGAGTCAGCCCCTAGCCTTTCAAGTGCGTAGTTAAAATGCTGAGCCTGGTTTCCATATACCAGATCATGTCATCAGCCGTATACTTTTAACAACTGGTCTGGACAAACCAGACATAACTGATTATGGGGACCAGTCATTTTAATTTAATAAAGGAATAAGCTCCAGATTTTATTTTTTCTTTCCAATGAAGTAGCACTGTAATCTAAGCTTTTTTTTAATGTTGTATTTTTGAACTTTTTGCTTCTCAAAGTAAACAAAATCCTCGTCAAAGAACATATCAAGTGGTTGGATTTAGTAAAAGAATGTTACCTTTTAAATTATATTTTGATTTCTTGTAAACAAATATTTTTAAAAGTTTGCAGTGAAGGCTTAGTTTGTTATTTGAAGAAAATATGGCAACAAATGCTCAGCAGGTGCTCTTAGTTCTACAGCATGTGGAGATTCTTAACACAGGTGGTGAAGGGAGTCCATAGGAACAGAAGCTCTAAAACCTGGAAGGAGTCAAAGGGAAGGGCGGGCGGGCCTTACAGTGGTGGGGGTGAAAAGAACAGCAGACCTACAAAGTGGGTAGGGGGAGTCAAATGGAAGGGCAGGTCAACAATCTTGTGTGTGGAGTCCAATGGATAGCAGACCTACGATGTGGCGGGGATCAATGTTTGACAAACTGGTGCGTTTCAATTAGGACAGTGTAGTGTTGGAAGGCAGTCCCTATTATGCAACAATTGTCGGGAGGGCACACAAAGGAGAGGGTTGACACTTTAATATCTACATTGATCCTATCATTTGTTACCATTCAGTGCCACGTAAATTTCAATATGCAACATTATCAACACCATCCATTGTGATGTCACAAGGGACAATGAGATAACTACATGAGTTCATGATAAAAGGCAAAACAGGTGGCATTTTTATATGTTAAAAATGTAAAATCAGTTCGGTAAATCATAAACAGAATTTACAACTCTTTCACTTTCCAACTTTCTTTTATGAAACTCACTAAAGCTTGTTCCATAAATATCCCAGGTAAGGTGAACTTTTGAGATGGTCAATGTATTGTGCATGTGATGCAGTGTAACGTCATTAGCTGTGTGGTATGGAGGACAATGCGTATCTACAGCATCATGCTTTTTTACATTTACGTTGAATATGGAAAATACTCGCATAATTGTCAAAAGTTCAACACATACCAAAATCAGAATAGTAACACTGCCAATATTCGCAAATTCATCGCAAAGCACCATTTACAAAAACAGTCTTCCTACCAAGGGTCATTAAAACACCTCTTCGCTTTTAGAAAATAATACATCAGAATATCAGTGCCAAGCACAGAATCGCTACCACAAGATAAATGCTAAGGCAGTACAGATATAACAGAATGTATACACCCACATCTACACCCACCCTGGAAACCCATACTGAATAATCTGTCCTTGTGGTTCAGCACATGGTCACCCATTACTACAGCTGGGTAGACTAGAACCTGTCGAGCTACAGTGCAGTGTGGTGTCGAATGATGTAAGTACTATGATGAATGTTTTCTTTTTAACAGTCCAAACATGACAGGTGAGCTTCACATGACATAGAGATACTCAGACTCAGAAGCAACAGAGTAAAATGAATAAAAAATAAGAAAGGTTAGTGTCAATTTCATGGAAATCTGGGACCTAAAAGGCCTGAAATCAAGTAACATGTGGAAAGGTATAACGGCACCAGTGCAAGCATGTTTAGCAAGGATAGGAATGATCTTTGTGTGGCATGGAAAATGGAAGTTCCTAGGAAACTAGTCGTGATAAGGCGCCAAGCAACAGTGTACAACGGGCATGTCTAGGAAAGAGAGGTCAATCCGTTAAGGTCAGTCCTAGGGAAAATAGAAAGATCCATTCATCCCCACTAAGACTCTGTCATGTCTCAAATCTCCCCACCACATACATAGGTGTTTATATACACAAGGATGTGCTTTTTGTTTTTCCTAAAACAAGGGTGTTTTTGCCACAGCCTGGTTCATTATAGGTACGATGTGGTGACTTTTTAATAGATATTCCGTCAGTTTTTAATTTGAACTCGGCAATAATACTTTAAACGGGTCAGTTTATTTTGTCATGCTGGTCAGATCATTTTTAGTCTGATCACATTGGACTGGTCATTTCATGGTTTGGACAGGTCATCTGGTAGTCATGCAAGTCAAGTCAACATGCCAATGGTTGGTAAGAGAGGTCAATCTTTTGTCCGACTGAAGAACCCATCACAGTACAAATGTTGTGTCACAAGGCACTTTCTAACTATCATGTACATAAGCGTTAGAGGTGTAGCATTAATTTCAGCAAAGCTTCAGTTTTTCATTTAGCATGTTAACTTTCAATAATATTGACTTCTTTTATTATTTCTCTTTTTTTTTTTTTTACAATTTGAAAGCTTATTATTTTCATAAAAATAAAAAAATAAAATAAAAAAATCTCTATTAATGTTATTTCAATTGAGTCTGGATAAATAATCAATGTATATATTTCATATTTTTTTCTTTTTTTTTTTACAATTGTCAGTGAAAATCAAGTCATTTATTATAAAGCTGTTGTCTGCCATAGCAGAATGGTATTCCTCCAAGTGTTTTTCTGTCCAGAACACCATTCGAGACAAAGTTTTGCTGATATTCATACAGACTACAGATGAGTGAGATTAGGTTACAATGAATCATTAGTACTGTTATGTTGTAAACACGGAGAGACCAATCACCTCTCGGAGAGACCAATCACCTCTCGGAGAACAGCAGTCTATATAGCTAGATGGCTTTCAATATAAGCACACAGAAAAGATGTTTATTGGAAGTAGGTCCTCCACACCTGCTGCAGATACCGTAGGATACTGTCAATATGTGAGTAGCGAAGAAGTTGCGACATTAGTACAGAAAGAAAACAATGAAGAATGTTACACAGATGGTATACTTGATACTAGAGGGTGAAATAATCTGTACAAACAACTGTCTGTTCCTTGGCTTCACCAGTTCAAAATAAATGTACAACTTAATTTGTTGAACTTTGCCCTCATTTATCCCCCAAAAATAATAGAATTTAGCCTTTATTGAATACAAGAGAATAATATGTCCTCTTTCAAACAGTTATGCTGACTAAAAAGTTGTGTATCTGACTTTGCTAATGTGGGACTAGTACGGATAACATGGTGTTTTTTTTATCACCTTTAACTCAGTCGGCAAAAGACAAGGGACAGAAAGTCTCTATATCCAACAGCATGGCTTGCCTGTCTCTATACTAATCAGTGTCTATACAAGGCTGTAGCACTGCCTCGGAATGCAGAGAGTCAACAGAATGCATGTAGTAATGAGTCAAAGAGGTCCAGAAGATTAAAACAGACAACAATGTCTGAAGTAAGAGAAACAGACCAAAGGAATACTCTTAACATATTGCTACCTCCGACAAAAAGACTTGCCTCAAATCTTTCATAACATGATTTCAAAAAGAAAGTGTGGATCTTAATCTAACAACTTTGAAAGTCTAATGCAGGGTATGATTACTATAAGGAGGAAGTAGATAGCCCTCATTGCCTATGTATCTTTACATATTCAAATAAAATGTCTGTGCAACAAAGCCTGGACGAGAAATAATACCCACCAATCAGTTAAGGAGCCGCTAAGAAGGTAAGAATCCCTAATTACAACACAGATCCTGTACAGATATGCCATTAAGAGCTGCAGCAATAAAACAGGGCTGACTTCAGAGAATATTAGCCCTGCTGGTCCAGTGTATTACCCAGGGATGTGGTCAGGCTACTCTACATGTGATGCTATATGTATGATGATTAGTAATGGAAGTCTAGTTGTATTGGGAGTACTGTGTGATAATGTTACACGGGACGGGGACGCTCGTAAACCATCCATTATCCTAGTGTCACCATTAGTGTAAACTCTCTGTCAAGCAACATCATCAATATGACAAATCTTCTCCAGTCAAAAAATAATGACTTGCATGTGAACTCACTATTTATGTGACTTTAAGTGCAAATTGATGATTTTGAGATATAGAACTTATCATAATCTGAACGCCCTTTCACAAATCACAATTATCTTCCACCACAACCAGAGCATGAATATAATTCCTTTAGTACTAAAACTTCAGACTCACAATAAGTATCTTACCTCAGCACTTAATTATACATGTACCATGGATGAAACAGAACCATTTCAGAACAAGAGATGACCAGACCCAAGTCAGTGTCGGTGTTAAATAGATTATGTGTGGTCAGTGGTAGTACTAGTGTAGCAGTTTTATAAACAGATGGCAGAAGATAAAATAGATCACAATGTATCCCTCAGACTACACTAATAGACAGGTAATATCTGCTGTTCATTTTGATCAGGAGTATTAGGGAAAGGCTCTTCGATGAACACTTGGAAAAAGTACCTGCCCAGAAGAAATGTTTGGAAACAAGGAGAAAATCTGCACGTTGAGAAATCAGAAATTAGAGCGTACTGTTAGTCCCTACATGTGCCAAAGGTACTTTGATGTATCCCACTCAATGTCCATTATAACCCAGATGTCCAGGAAGTGAATTCTAACACAAAAACGAAATGAAGTTACCAGATTGTCCCCTAATACAACCATGTCCCTGGACTTTGTCCCCTAATACAACCATGATGTCAATACAACTATATCCCAAAACTGTGTCCCCTACTGCAACCCTGTCCCCAGATTGCATTCCTCAGAACAACCATTAACCTCCAGACTTTGTCCCCTAATATAATGATGATTCACCTTAACTGTGATCCCTAAAACACCCATAACTACTCCAGACAGTGTTCCCTAATACAGCCCTAGATCTCTAAACTTTGTCCCCTAATATAATGATGATGCTCCTTAACTGTGATCCCTAATACACTCATAATATCCCCCACTCTGTGTACCCTAATGAAATGATGATGTCCAAGATTGTGTCCCCTAATACAACCATGATGTCCCAGATTGTGTCCCCTAATACAATCATGATGTCCCAGAGTGTGTCCCCTAATACAATCATGATGTCTCAGATTGTGTCCCCTAATACAATCATGATGTCCCAGATTGTGTCCCCTAATACAATCATGATGTCCCAGATTGTGTGCCCTAATACAATCATGATGTCCCAGATTGTGTCCCCTAATACAATCATGATGTCCCAGATTGTGTCCCCTAATACAATCATGATGTCCCAGATTGTGTCCCCTAATACAATCATGATGTCCCAGATTGTGTCCCCTAATACAATCATGATGTCCCAGATTGTGTCCCCTAATACAATCATGATGTCCCAGATTGTGTCCCCTAATACAATCATGATGTCCCAGATTGTGTCCCCTAATACAATCATGATGTCCCAGATTGTGTCCCCTAATACAATCATGATGTCCCAGATTGTGTCCCCTAATACAATCATGATGTCCCAGATTGTGTCCCCTAATACAATCATGATGTCCCAGATTGTGTCCCCTAATACAATCATGATGTCCCAGATTGTGTCCCCTAATACAATCATGATGTCCCAGATTGTGTCCCCTAATACAATCATGATGTCCCAGAGTGTGTGCCCTAATACAATCATGATGTCTCAGAGTGTGTGCTCTAATACAACCATGATGTCCAAGATTGTGTCCCCTAATACAATCATGATGTCCCAGATTGTGTCCCCTAATACAATCATGATGTCCCATACTGTGTCCTTATTATGGAACAATGTATTCATGTGTTAATGTTGTTTCATCAGAAATCCAGCAAGTAGTCTTTTATGATTCCTTTACCATCAACAAAGTAACAGTAAAATTCATATCCTGACACAGGAATACTAGAATGGTTTTAATTTATCTCAGAAACATATTTTTTTTAAATAAACAATTCACTAGGATGATGCAAAATATTTATCATAACTTGTTAAGATCTTGGATTTCTTGTATTCTTATTCTTGTGTTTTGTTCTATTTCCAGTGTCCAGGGACCCGAGTAAGAGGGGGTTGTGGTGCTCGCCTTTGTTTCAAAATGACAGGTAGCATCAACAAATTTGATCTCCCTTTACAGAAATCTCCACATGCTGTAGCTTATCTATAGATATTAAACCTGTGATGGCATTTAGTTTAGGTTGAAACCACACTCTAACCATTTCAAAAGTGTGCAAAATGTGTGTGGGTTCAAAGGGGAGGTGATAAAATCAAATTTACACAGGTCTAAGGTGAGGTAATTTTAACACAAAATAAAATATGGATTGATAACAGAAAAAAGATATATCAACAGAATATCAAAACAAGAGGAAAGAAACAAACAAAACAAGGGTTAACAGAACAAAACTGAAATAGAAAAAAAATAAAAACAAAATATGTAGAAGGAGCAAAAAGCAAGATCTTCATTATGATACAGGTTTGCCACCCCCTATTAATATACTGCTGGTTATATATATATATATTAGTATTATGTTAATGTGTGAGTGGTCAGTAGAATACACATGCGGTTAGATCTAAAAACACCGGGCTATGTGTAGGTTTAAAAACACCACTCTAGCTCAGGTATCAGTGTCCCAGGACCAGTCAACTAACTCTACTATCTTTGTCCCGGAACTGGTAAACAAACTCTACCATCTTTGTCCCGGAACTGGTAAACAAACTCTACTATCTTTGTCCCAGAACTGGTAAACAAACTCTGCTATCCCGGTCCCTAATAACTGGTAAACAAACTCTACTATTCCTGTCCCTAATGACTGGTAAACAAACTCTACTATCCCTGTCCCTATTGACTGGTAAACAAACTATATTAGCACTGTCCCTAATGACTGGTAAACAAACTCTACTATTCCTGTCCCTAATGACTGATAATCAAACTCAACTATCACTGTCCCTAATGACTGGTAAACAAACTCTGCTATCCCGGTCCCTTATGACTGGTAAATAAACTCTGCTATCACTGTCCCTTATGACTGGTAAACAAACTCCACTATTCCGGTCCATAATGACTGGTAAATAAACTCTGCTATCCTGGTCCCTGATGACTGGTAAACAAACTCTACTATCACTGTCCCTTAAGACTGGTAAACAAACTACTATCCTGGTCCCTAATGACTGGTTAACAAACTCTACTATCCCTGTCCCTATTGACTGGTAAACAAATTCCACTATTCCTGTCCCTAATGACTGGTAAACAAACTCTACTATCACTGTCCCTATTGACTGGGAAACAAACTCTACTATCCCTGTCCCGAATGACTGGTAATCAAAATCTACTATCCCTGTCCCTAATGACTGGTAAATAAACTCTACTATTCCTGTCCCTAATGACTGGTAAACAAACTCTACTATCCCTGTCCCGAATGACTGGTAATCAAAATCTACTATCCCTGTCCCAAATGACTGGTAAACAAACTCTGCTATTCCTGTCCCTAATGACTGGTTAACAAACTCTACTATCCCTGTTCCTAATGACTGGTTAAAAAACTCTACTATCACTGTCCCTAATGACTGGTAAACAACTCTGCTATTCCTGTCCCTAATGACTGGTAAACAAACTCTACTATTCCTGTCCCTAATGACTGGTAAACAAACTCTACTATCCCTATCCCTAATGACTGGTAAACAAACTCTACTATCACTGTCCCTAATTACTGGTAAACAAACTACTATCCTGGTCCCTAATGACTGGTAAACAAACTCTGCTATTCCTGTCCCTAATGACTGGTAAACAAACTCTACTATTCCTGTCCCTAATGACTGGTAAACAAACTCTACTATTCCTGTCCCTAATGACTGGTTAACAAACTCTTCTATCACTGTCCCTTAAGACTGGTAAACAAACTACTATCCTGGTCCCTAATGACTGGTAAACAAACTCTACTATCCCTGTCCCTATTGACTGGTAAACAAATTCTACTATTCCTGTCCCTAATGACTGGTAAACAAACTCTACTATCACTGTCCCTATTGACTGGTAAACAAACTCTTCTATCACTGTCCCTCATGACTGGTAAACAAACTCTACTATTCCTGTCCCTATTGACTGGTAAACAAACTCTGCAATAGGATCAGGACTAGTGTTAAGATCTGCTATCACTGTCCCCATTGACCAGTAAACAAGACCTGCTATCTTTGTCCTGGGATTCAGATGGCGACAAATGTATCACCATTCAATAGTTTTTATACCTAAAGCATGCTACTAAAATCTTATTGAAATAATGTGATTCTATATGTAATCTTATTAATTCCTGAAACCTGGATAATGTGTTTGGAATCATGGGGAGGAAACTGGACGAAAGTTTAATTACTGACAAAGCTTACCATGCTGCTTTTTTTGATAAAATGATAAATCAGCTTAATCCTAGTTACTAAAATATGAACGTCCTTACCTTTACTCCCTCAAAAACAGCAAATTTCAAATCATACAGCTTTATACACATAAGACGTATACTTCTTACATGCAATTTCAACTTGATTCATTTCCTTATAAATGCAATACCAATATGGTATATGCAATTTTTGACCCTGTATTTTACAGGCTGACCTTTGACATTTCCTTATCCACACAAGGCTGTGACCTTTGACAATTCTTTGTAGCAAATCTGGCCTTTGAACTTGTACCAAATGACCTCGCTTTTTCATGGTTACAAAACTCTTAGTTCAAATCTTATGTTATTATTTTTATGTTAATAACTAGTTGTATTTTAGGAGAGAAATGCCATCAAGATGATGAATCTGTTGGAGCAGTTATGATGTGCTAATGCTATGTATAAGAGTTGCCAATGCATGCTTACATAATGTTACGAGTACATCATGCATCACCTTGACTAACTAAAACCTCTCACACCAACTTGAACTAGTTCAAATAAGTTTTAAGTAATGGATTTTTATACATACTGGTATTACATTTTCAGTTTTATTAAATATATTTAATGGATTTTTATACATACTGGTATTACATTTTCAGTTTTATTAAATATATTTAATGGATTTTTTTCGTTCAAATTCATCAAATTTATTTTTAAAAAACATGAATAGCTAGGGTAACTTTTATAAGCTATCAGGACTGAATCATTAGTTAGCATTTGATAACACACAGCCAGCAAATGTATGACAGGTGACTGGTGATATTTTCCTTGATGCGCAGAACTGAAGAATACACTAGGGCTATATACACATTGTCGTCCACTAGTTAAGACTATATGTACATTAAACATGCTGACCATCCCTACACATGCACCTCATTCCCAACTCATCCGCTCATAGCATTCTCATGTATATATATATATATGTCTGACAAGCACATGACTAGTCTAACACCCTAACATACATCAAAAGACACATTTCCACATCTCTGAAGGAGTTTTATCAAAGCGTTTTCATAACTATATATGTATGCTGCGTACTGTCAAAAGACACTTATTTCTGTACATTACAAAACACAGGGTCTGCTGAAGTGTGTAGCTAGCTATAGCCATGGGGAAACCCTCATACCAAGCCCGTATTCCCATCAGCTCTGTACCGCATGCCTCTGTTCCTAAACATTGTACCTCAAGAAAAAACAATCTATTACTCCCCAGACACATACCATTACCTTCCAGAGCCGAGATGCTGATGTACTTTTTACCAAACATTTGTCCTAGAAGTTGTCTTTTAAAACCACACAAACTACATGCACAGTGACAACAGTGAATAAAGTTCCTACCGGCACCACGTTCCCCGGCGGGGCTGTCCATTTTCTCTCCCTTCTCACTACGCTCCTTCTTCCGGCGTAGCTTGGATGGTTTCTCAGGTGTCGTCTCACCCTGGGACTCTGGGCTGTCACCTTTCTCTGGGGTGTGTTCAGGGGAGGAGCCCTGGGACTCGGGGGAGTAAAGTCCCTCATCTCCCTGGGTATCCAACATCAAACTAACAGGCATGCCATCTTGGGACAAGTCCTGCACAACAGAGCTCAACATTAATATACATAGCCTACCAACTGATATTTTGGTTAAATTCAGAGTTAGTTTCAGCCCAATATTTCCTCAAACTTCTCAAAACAATACATAATTCAGCATGCACTAATGGACAAACACTTTGACCTCTCATCATGACCAAGGCCCAAGGACCTAAGAGTGTTAAAAATTACAAATTATTATACTTTTTCTTTTTCTCCAAACTTCCTATCTTATTTTATATTTGATATGAACTTGATCATTTTAGCTCCTATTGTATTTTGTAAACTAGTCTATTATCCTATCAAATACTGCATCTTGCCAAAGAATTAACTTTTTTTTTCGCCATTTGCTATATATAGTTTGCCTTGAAATCACATTTTTTTTTAAATTATGTTTATACTAATGCTAACTGTATGTCAACTTTTTCTGGTCTATCATTTTGTTATTTTACACCATAGTGCAACATCCATAGTGTATTGTATGCTTAAACAAATGGTGATAGGAATCCTATACTCTACACTAACATATCCTATTGCCTACCTCTGTTTTCTGAGAGTCAGGACTGTCCAGTTCTCGCCTGTTGACTCCCAAGTCCTCCAGGGTACTGCCCTCCTCCAGCCCAGGTCCATCCTACACAAAAGAAATTTGTATGCATTTCAAGGAATTGCTCTAAATGAAGATTTTATCAAAATCAACACTTATTCATGATGAACTTCTATAAGAATTCAAGTAATTAAAGAAAATATTAATTAGCTAGACTTTTAAAGCGCATGATTGTCTTGAATATCTTAAATGGGGGGTTATTTCTTAAGAGTTGATATTGTCATGATTCTCAAATTCTACTGTTGCACAAATTACCTTGACTGTGTCTACAGTCAAAACATGTCTCACCCTAATACATCACACACAGCATAACACAGGTGATTACATAATGTGTTGTTTTTTACTATGTTTGCTTCAGTAGGTCACTATTAAAATGACAAATTAATAATCATTCAATGATATTAAGAAGCAACTGGTAAAAATCAAACCTGTATAAAATCCTCTTCTCATTACTGGAGAACATATATTTTATATTGCTGGTTTTTTTAATTGGTCATGTTTTAAGGACGTAAAAGATCTATCTGACATACAAGTACATACCAGAGAATTACATGTGTCCATGTCGATTTCCTTTGCAGGCTCAGCCAGAGATGGTTTGTCTATAGTAGTCAGCTCAGTGGTTGTAGAGTCAACAACTGCCTCCTTCAACATAAAACACGAACTATCTAACCATGTACGTACATTTTTGTTGACCCCTGTGATTTTGAAAGGCCAGGGTTAATCATTTGAAAATTTCAAAGCCTATCACCTCAAAAAGCTAGTGGATATGCACCTAAGACATATTGGTTTGTTAGACTTAGGTCATTTTAAGGTTTTAAAACTATTTTACTCCTGTGACCTTGTATGCTGGTTGGTAAAGGCAATTTATTTGAAGAAATATTGTTAATACAACATAACATTTCTTGAGCCCTGAATCAAATTACCATTATACAAATTCTACAATTTCATAAACATGCCCTTTATAATTAAATAGCGTCCTGTAATACAACTTTCTGCATGTATGTTGAAACTTCCTTTCCCCCTATAACGTATGCATGAATTCACTATTGAAATAGTATCTTTTTAGAAATAGTGTAAAAGTTCAACATTAGTTCAATACCCATAATTGTCTTAAATTAACCATCTCTTGTCCTACTCACTCCGACGTCCATCTGTTCAACACTAGTTTTCTCCTCACTCTTGGGGTTTACTGTATCTTTGTCTGTTTCTGGTTGGTTTTCCTGCTCCTCCTCCTTCTTCATCTCCGCCAGCTCTGCAGCCTTCTTCCTCTCCTGTTCTTGCTGCTGTAAATACTGCTGGTGCCTCACCTTCAGGTCCTCACGTGCCACCGACACCATGTTGTTGAACATCTCCTCAGTCACTTGTGGCTTATCATCACAGAGCTGTACACAAAATTGTGTAATAAAAATGCTTGAATATAGAGTTTGTACCATACGTTGGTATTTGTAATATTACGGCACTGATTGAGGATGGATTCAATCGCAGTATTGCTTATTGGATTGATTACATTTCAAAAGTGAATGCCTTCTGTTTTACTACAATAATTATAGACGTAAGTTCTTCATTGCAATCATGTATTGTTACTCTTGAACTTATTGATCTTTAGAAGAGGCCATTTGAAGTTTGTTTTTACATATTTGATCCCTGTGAGCTTTAGAGTAAGTAAATTTGTACATAAAACATACAAATGCTACTTAATATAAATATGAACAGACATGACAGGAGACAAAGCAGAATTGTTAGTTGATATACCTTCTGAAGATCATCTTGAAACTGTTCACTACCCTCTTGAAATTTGCGTTTTTTGTTTTCATGTCTTTCTTCAATTTGCTGTAGTTCAGTTTCCAATTTTTTCTGAAAAAGGACACATGATGCTATTAAGGTACCAATAAATACAAACATATCACCAATAGTTGGAAAAGAAACTTTTAACGCAGTAATTAATTGCAGAATTATTTAAAATCATACACAAAGAATTTAATCTATGTGCTGTATATTTGGATCAATACAAAACAACTTTACTGATACATATTTACTACTTTACTATGTACTTATGTTCACTGGTTTAATGCTAAAACTTCCTGAATTTTTATTTGTTTTACACTCCACCAACCTGATGCATTGTTAGAGATTGCACTTGACGCTTCAGCACTCCCATGCGCGTCGTCGTAACAACTGTACGCACATCAGGCACAACGGTCTCGCTGAAAATCTCGTTGATGAGTCTGTGATTGCGGACATAGCGCGAGTGTGATATGTGTTTGATTAGAAAGCCATCATCAGCATCTGTGGATAAAATCAGGTCCTTGTAATATCCTATTCAAAGCATGGAATTTTCAACTTTAATTAATATCTAATTTTGCAAATACTGAAGCTGGAAAATTATTTCTTCAATTAAAGTGGCAGTAATAGTTTTGTTCTAGGTCAATTTTTTTATTTTTATTATATGGTCATTAAATCAATAAATATCTTCTATAATGATTATTTTCTTCATGAACTGGTTGTTGATGAAATGGTGTAAAATCTGGATTGAAGTGTGTACTGCTGCCTAATGAGAACAAGCTGAACAGCTGGAAAAACAAAGCAACACATACCGTCCTCATCGTCTGCCTGCTGGATGCTTATTCTCCCTTGCGTATCCATTTTAGAGCTCTAAAAGTTCAAAGGGAAATTACACATTTAGCACTATATGAATAATATTTAATCTTGAAATGTGTTGGTGATGGTGGAGGTAGTGAATGAGACTGAGGACACAATATTGATATTTTGAAGTAAGATACATCGTTTTCTCATTAAAGATACTTCCGATTGGAAAAAAATATCAGAAAGATCTGTTTCTTGTTATTTTTCTATAAATAAAGGAGTTTTGTCTTTTCTATATCTTAAATTTGAAAATCCAAAATCAGAGTGATATGGAACAATGACCATGTTATAAAAGCAAAAAGCAAAATTTATAAGTAGAGTACCTGTTGACCTCTAGGCGTCCGCTGAGGAATTTGTTGTTGTTCCTCATCATCCATTGATGTGTCTGCAACAACTGCAGCAGCAGCAGCTGCAGCTGTGAAAAATATTATATTTATGTTTTCTGAAAATCATTCTCTGGAGTATATATCACTCTTTTAGCTTCATTCTTTGATAATGAATTTCATTATCTGTTTATTTTGAAATCCACAATGAAAGTTCATTTCTTTGTAGTTTAGAAAACCACTTAAAAGCCACATGATATACCCTTACTATATAGAATATACTCGGGCCCCAATTTAAAAGCTATCCCATTAACCAAGAAGTACACTTAATGGAATTGTAGAGCTGTGCTGATAGCTACCTTTGCCTTTACCTTTAGCGGCTACCCAGGCCTGGTAAGCTGGCGAGTTGTGGTAGGCCTTCATCAGTTCACTGTACTGGACCTGCAAAAACGAGGCCGGTAGTTTAAATAAAACGTCAAGTTTACACTACGGAAAGCTATGTAACTGACTTCAGACTGAATTGTTCAATGACTTTGTAATAAGTAGGAAAACATCCAAAACTTTTAGTTTTAAGATATTATCTTCATCTTTTGTATGAGTTTTTGTCTCCAACATTTGACGGTGGTCATAACATCAGTGAATTGTTCAATGGCAAATATCTAACATAGCAACACAGAACAAATTTGCTTTCAAAATACAGATTTTCTTTTGGCTCAGATATACTTGTGGAATACATGTATATTAAATTTAATTAAACAGTCCCCTTTAATATTTCTTAAGCTGAGAACAGAGGTTTAATCAACTTAAAGTAGAGAACCCCACCATCTTTCCACTGTACACTGACATTATTTTCCATTATTTTCCTTAAAATTTATGCTATTCCTTTTATATATATACAAAGACAGTTTTAAGTTGCAGGCCTTTATAGGGATTGGAACACTTTGAATTTTTTCTTAGTAATGTTACAAAGCATCAACATAACAAATATCATGCTGGTAGCTTCCTGTTCTTTATAATCAAGAGGTCTTGGGACTGAATCCATGATGGAGGGTTTTTTTTAAGAAAGGAAAATATGACATGCTTATATTTCTTTTGTATATAATACTTTGCTATAAATATCAAAGAAATTGGAACTCCTCTTCATTGGAAGATACACAGGAAAAGTTCTGGGACTCTCTACCTTAAAAGTAACCAATGGACCAAAAAGTGCCAAATTTTACAACATGAATACTATATCACAGCAAACATAAACAACATATATGCATTCAACAACAATATACCTTTTCTGCCTCATACTCATCCATGAACTCCTGCTTGTCAGCTTCAGGTAAATCACGCCACATCTGGCCAATAATTTTGCCAATTTCCCAAAGTTTCAGGTCTGGGTTAGCTCCTTTGACTTGATCCCATACCTGGGATAACAGTAAAAAAGCATCTGGATGTTTTTTTTTCTATTATTACTTTTATTTTCAATTCTACATAACAGAATAGTTGGTTTATACTAACTATGAGGTCTTTTTAAGGAAAATGTGTCTGCTGTAATCAAAATGTACTTAACACTTTGTTGAAACTCCTTTTAAAAACTTTCCTTTCTGATAGGTTCATTTTGTACAAGATAATTTCCCGGAGGAGTCCAAAACGAAGAAGTTCTGAGAACATAAAGGTACTGTAACTAACATTGAAGAATTTTTCTAGTTTGTCAACTCTGGCAGGAATGTAGTTTAAATACTTTCTAATAAAGGAAAGTACACAGGAATTATGAATCAAGTATAAAGCAGTGTGAACAACAGATAACACTTCCTCACTCCCAACATCTAGACATTCTGCATGGGATGCATATCACAGGAAACAAATACCACATTAACTGGGCTGTGTGTCAACATTCACTTCCTAACATTGTATGTACGTGATAAACATTTCAGGTGAAAGTCCTTTAATTTTTGGATTAGTGCATTTAATTAGACAGGGTAACAGCTCTTCTTTAAAAAAATTTTTTTTACGTATTTCCCCAGTTTTCAACAACTTCTGTGCTTTTGAGATGGTACATGCAACATGATAAACTTTCCACTTTCAAAGAGATGTTATCAGGCCCAAAAGATCTTTACATGGCCAGCTTTAGTGAAGACGCCATTTGTGTGAAAGAAGAGGTGCGAGATACAGCATGCCAGTGTTCTTACCTTCCTGCTGTACCTCATATAGGGCATCAGAGGCTTATCTGGAGGCTTCGGCGGCTTGGGTGTTTTGGAATCTCCCTGGCAATACACACACCATTACAACATTCAATAACAATTATCATTTGCCTGATTAAGAAGATAATGGCAGAAGTTGGTGTGTCAAAGAAATGGCTTAAATGGAAGTGTTTGTGCCATTGATAACATTGATTTTTACTTTAATATATAAACTCAAGTTTTCATTAGTCTACTACAAAATGTAATATGAATCTTCCATAAATTAATTATTATCTTGGGAAAATCATATCACAGAGACAGAAGAGTGGATGATGTAATATATATGTGATTTACGGAATGGTTGAATGAGGACATGGACTAAGTTTGGTCTGTTTGATCCAAGTGATGTGTATACTTACAGCTGCACTGCCCTTGCTGCTGCTGAAGCTAACCTTGACTGGGTTAAAGGATGGGTGGCCATGAGGTGAAGACACAAAGGGACTCGCACCGGAGCTCTGTAACCATAAATGTAACCATGTCACACACTTGCTATATTATCAGCCTGATGTCATTGAAAATGAAATGAGGAGCAAAGGCAGAGTGATTTCTCTAATGTTATTCCAATTGCTCTTTCTTGACATTTTATAAAGAAGTAATATTTTGTAGTTGGAGTAATTTCCTATTCAAAAAAATGGACAAATGGACACTTGTTATACTTGCATCCGTTTTAATTTTCAACATTTTCCTGACATTCTAAATTGTTTCATTTTTCTATTATTTGGTCCTTACTATGTTTATTAAATCAGTTCACTAAACTTGCAGTAGATTTGTATTGCACACATATTAAAGAGACTTGTGTTTAGTAAATACTGCAAAACAAATATGATGATCGAGTCAAGATTTAAATGTAGTCATCACTTGCAACTTTTTTGCATCATCTGATGCCACTAATATGAAGAAATTTCTTTTGAATAAAATTAATTATCTAGGTTAATGCAGGTTAAGTAAATTAATAACTCTTTATTTTTCAAAATGTTATTTTTTTTTTAAGTGCATTTAGTTTCTAAAAACCACTTTTTCATTCATGAAAACATCAACAGAAGTTCCATTTGTTCTTCACAACTGTACAAGGGTCGGTTTTAACACAATCAGAACAGTGTAAAAGCAGCATTTACAACATCTTTCAATGTGATCCCCTTTAGGACCTTATGTGCAAGGGCTTGTGTATTGTGTTGTGTATTGGAGATTGTAAATGAGGAGTTTTGTACTACTTGAATACTACGGCACAGAGACTGTAACAATCAACCCAGTTTGTTTGTATGGGGATCAATGTTCTTGCAACAGATCTGATCATGTGAAGATGGATCCTATACAGACTACATTCTACTCCACTCTTAGCAGGTGGAATTGACCAAGAGTCTTGCTTAATGTCATCTCAGGGAACTGATTATACTAGATAGTCTCTTATGAAAAGGACATATATACATAAACTGAAAATGTAGAGCCATTTGTTTCACTGTACAAAATCAATTTTGTAGAAAACAGCTCAGCTGAATTTTGTTTCCCAATTATTCAAAAATATGTGAATATAAGAGAGTTGTTTATAGAAACAACTAGACAGGTGAAGGAAAGGAAATAGTGCAGTAACAGGAATGGTGTGCAGTGCAATTCTTCACAGCATCAAAAACACTATATACAAACTATACCTTGGACATGGCCATGCTGCTTACCGATTTGTCATAATTTGACCTAGAACGGGCTGAAAAAGAAAAAGAGATATAAAATAGTATACTATAGACTTAACGCACATACAATTTTAGCTTATCCAGTATTTAAGTATCTGAGGGGATAAAACATGCTCTGAACTCCCCACTCTGAATCTACCTCTACATGAAGCTCTTACTAGTCTTTATATACAGCTGAACAACTGTTTAGCTTGATCTATTTTTATTATACTTCAACTTAAAATATTTTATTTTTCATATCTGAAGTAAATGTATCTACACATCAGCTGAAATGTTACTCAAGGAAAAAATATGTCTGGTCCATAGTTTTTTACTTTTTTATTTCCAAAATGATATATCGAATACATTTGTCTGTTTATGGTAATTTTGTTTGAGATGAAAATTAAAGTGGGAGAGGGGTGTACATTCCTTTAGTCCAAGGCCCTTGGTAAGAAGAATTATGTTAGTGCTGGTGAAAATATTTGGTATTTATGTGGAAATAGGCAAGACCTCTGGCCCTGATACCAGAGCGCACTGCTGTATGAAAACATGGAATTCAGGAGTTTTAAGGTGCTGACATATATCGATAAATTGATTATTTATTAACCCAAATCTGCTCTTCTTATCACCAGCAGCTGCTAAATGCAGTCAGTAGAGTCCTCGGTTTACAATCGTTCAGAATTTACCACCTGAGACACCATTTTTGTTTTTCAGGGTTATGACTAATGAAGAAAAAGAGGCCGTCCGGAAATCTTCTAAACAAGAATGATATATTCCGTTTCTGGATCAGTACAGCTTGTTTATTAGTCACTCCCTGACCTTCAAAAATGGCATCCGCTCAGGTGGGAAATTTTGAATGATTGTAAACCGAGGACTCTTCTGACTGAATTTAGCAGCTTTTGGTGATAAAAAAAAAAGATTTGAATCAATAAATAATCCATTTAGCGATATTTATGTAAGGTTTGTGTTGTGTCATAGTCAATTTTTGTTGTCAGAACCTCAAAACTATCTGACATCAAACGGTGTCGGAGAATTCCACGTTTTCATATAGCTACACCCTACACCAGCCATCTTTCTGTCAAAATGTCTAAGTCTGGTGTCAGGGCCAGAGGAAACTTGGGCTATACTAACAGTAGAGTTTTTATTTTATTTTGCCTGTGGTCTTGTACTCATAAGTATGACAATGCACACCCCTGAGAGATGCCTTTAACTTACGAGTTGCTGGAGGTGGATGGGGCGAACCTCTATACATAGGCAGTGCCATCTTGTTACAGCAAAGTCAACCTGTAAAATAAGACATAAATGTTATCAAATTACATACAGCATGTGAATGGATTTCATAAAGAAAAGACTCTACATCTGAAGTATTTTGACATACCAAGCACGAGAATTTCAGACGTTTCGGTACTATTTTGAAAAGACAGCGAATGATGGATAAACTTTTTTTAAATTAAAACGCAATGCAAGAGCCAAAACTGTTCTAAAATATCTGAACATTTTTTGGAGCTACCGAAACGTCTTGTACAAATGCCGAAACATCTCACTTGCGAAACGAGAGCGTACCTAAACGTCTGTATCCCAAAGCTGAAGTGACAGTCTTTAACTTTGACTACATGATAAATATGTTGATAGTTAATGGTCAGATGCAGCTTAGCTCCGACTCAAAATGCGGATGAAACCACTCGAGTGTGAAAATATTGGACCGGCCAACTGACCGTAGATGCCTATTTTTGCATGCTGTTTAAAACACTACATTAATCATAAACAATTGTTAAACAGTGCAAAGTGACTGCCAATTCCTTAACTTTCATACTTACCCCAAATAAATGTCTTTCAGTGTCACGTTAATAAGAAAAGACGCGTCATTATTATAGCTTGAACAAAGCACTTTCTGTAATAAATATGGCGTCGCTTTTGTAGTGACGTGTGAATAAAAGCGTCAAAAGATAAATTGATACGCTCACCAGCGATGTGTCCACTACACATCCCTGCGCTCACCGACAACAAAACATGGTGTTTTTGGAATTTTAAGAAATATAAACGCATTTGAATAGCCTTACACACAATTAAGAATGCAAAAATAATCGTTTAATTAGTTTAAACATCATCATTTTCATGCATAAAACTTTTCTTCTGTTAGCCTGTTGGTGTTATGTGGTTTTGTCAAACTTCCTATCTTGGCTATTAGTACTACCTACATTTTGTATGCGTTCTTCTTTTCCCCCAATTTTTTTCTCATTGATTACTGTATAATCTATCATTTATATATTTAAATCTATTTTTTTGTATAATTTTATTACGGAACAAAAAGTTGAGAAATATTAAAAATGACATCTCATGGTCTCGTTACGCACGAGACTATGAAAATGGCGGGTGTTCCCAAACTTGCAAAGGCCAAATGAAATGTGGCTGTTCTGGAAGAAATCTGTTGAGGTATGGTATCTTGTGATATGATTGAAAACAAGTGACATTAAGAACGGATACTATAGTTATTTGTTGTCTATACTTTTTTCAAACCTTTTGTTTAGAAGAATACCGAATGAAAACAAATCAGAAATCCGAAAAAATGTAAACAACGTGGGCCAACAACGTTCTTGTTGTTGGCCTTTAAAACACTGATACACACGTTGACTAGATTTTAATTTGTAGTTGTTCCAAATGAGATAGAGTTCTGAATACGCCACGCTTTGTAGATAAACATTGAATGGTGGGAATTTGTCAGAGGTACGTTATGCAAAACATACAGACAGAAGCTTATCTGTATATTTACTGGAAATTAGCTCAAATTTATCCAGGGTGAGTCTTCGGACCGTCAATTATTTCATTTATAAGGTTTAAGTCTGCAAGATCGTTCTTCATAAAAGCCCACTTAAACTTTCTGGTGTATCTCTTGGTGTGGTATTATACATTCATAGCAAAGCAAACTGCTTGTTTCCACTCTATATATTTATCCTTTATACTGTGATGGTAAATGTGATTGTAGGGTAACAGGTTGTTTCGCCCCAAATCCCGTTCGCCCTAGGTTGTTTCACCCTAAAAAAATATTCTTTAATCATTAATATCATGTTAAAAGTTAAAAAAACTTATCTTTCTCTTGAATCAAGATATAATTATGTGCTTGAAGATGAAGAACCAACCTGTATTCAGATCACTGAAGCCGACAACAGACATACTAATATCCGGAAAATACTGCATAATTATTATCATTTTCATTTCATTACCTTAATTAAGTAATGTTGTTATTTATAAAATGCACCTGTACATGTTTTGACGTTAAAAATATAAAAAAAAAAATACTTATACAACTTCTAACATGATATAAACAATTTCATTACATACTTACTAATAAATACGGGGATTTTGTATATGCGATACAACACAATTGCTCTAACCCATATCAGCCCTCACCGGATCACACCCCAAAACCTGTATCAGCCCCCGCCGTATCACACCCCAAAACCCGTATCAGCCCGCAAAACCCATATCACACCCCTTTTGTGAAAAAAATCGTTTTTCAATATTTCAAAAATAAAAATAAATCATAAGATAGTAGTTTTTATTAGTAATTATGTAATAAACAGAATAAAACACGCCTTTTTCCATATCACACCTAGTATCAACCTGATATTGGTCGAGGATTGATACTGGGTGTGATATGGAAAAAGGCGTGTATTATTCTCTATAAAAAGCACCCTGTCACGATACCATGCTGTCTGCGTCTAAGTTAACCTACGGCGTCGCACAAAATGCACAAATCATCCATAACGTAATGTTGAATTATAACACAGTATTGAGAAATGCCCTTTTTATGACAAGTTACCTACTCAAAATTATCTACTCAAATTTATATGCGTATTAATTTTTATTGGTCGGTACTATCAAAACTTCTCAAAATTATCTCCTCCAATTAGCAAAAAACAACACGGACGTGCGCAGAAATCAAGTAAAGAAGTCTACACTAGACTAAATGTGTTAACATGGAAAAATAATATTGTTGTATACTCCGCAATGTCATTAAAATTACACCATTTTTGTTTCATTTCACTATTCTTATTTATTTCTAATATTAAATTCAATATATGTTTTAATGTGTGTTTGTGTGAAGAAAATAACGTATTCCGTTTTTTGATTTACAATGTACTTAACAACACAAACACAATTTTTTTTTAAAAATAAAACTGATTTTAATGATATGGAAGATTAAGAACACTTAATTTGTGACTTAAAACAAGTAAAAATGAAAAGAAAATACCAAACAATGTTTCGCCCTAAAAAAATGTTTTAGGGCGAACACACTAGCGCGAAACAACCTAGGGCGAACGGGATTTGGGGTGAAACAACTCGGAACCGATTGTAGTAACTCTCCTTTTACAGCTACACTGCTTACAACTGTGGTCACTGGTTGATGTGATGCTTGTGTCTGAGGTTATTAAACGTATATAAACTTCTACACCTACTGTAGAGGGTATTTGTAATGCTCAAAATCCATATATTTGCCAGTTTTGCTTCAAGTAGATTGAATGCATGTTTTACTATTATTAAGGGTTAATCCCTGGATATGTGTATGCGTTGACACAATTCTTTGTGATGAAACAATCAACCATAAATTCGGTCTTTTTGCAAGTCAATAAAATGTTATAATTAAAAAAATCTTACATGGATATAAAAGTTTTGTCTAATTTCTGGGCGAAGTCTATTTTTTGATGCAAATTGAACTTCAAAAATGTTTATTAAGGTCTCAAATTGTGTCAATAATATAGAAGGTGCTTTTAAATATATATTTTTCACCAAAATCTGACAAATACAGCTCAAACCCATTGCTGCCATTCCATTATTTATAAGAAAAAATCTGACCAATAACTTTCACTGACTAATTAATATAAAGTGGAACTGTATCACTTATAATACATATGGGGCAAAGAAGTAATTCCAACAGTATAATACATAGTCATAGTAATCAAATTATTTATTTAGCAAGGATAACTAGTCACCAGGGACTAGTAACTAGTCTCATTTTATCTATAAAGGAGATGAACACTACTAATTCCATGACTGGGTTTTAGTGAAATATCCATATTATTTCATACTTACCCTCTGTTACAGAAGTGCTGAAGCCTCCCTTGGTGGCTATGGGGGAGGACGAATTTAAAGTGCGATGTGTGAAGACATCAGACTCGGACGATGAGAGTGATGGCAGCGAAGCTATGATGAAAGCACACAAGGTACAAAGTAAAAAGAAACTTACGCTTTTATATTAGAACGAATCTTGGAATGGAGGAAACTATTTAAATATATCATTGCAATATGTATGTTTATGTTCTCAGCTTATGCATTTTGTTCTTTGTAAATTGACATATACATGTACCTTATTCAACATATTAATATAAGTAAACACCAGGTGAGCTATTCGGGCCCTTTGATCACTTCAAATTCATTATGACTGCTTTTGAGGAAAAACATTTGGTGATCATGATGTACAACAGAACAGAAGCAGTGACGAAATGACAGAATAATTAATATTTAATAACAGCATACCTAATTTTGTCATGACATGTCATTCAACAATGAATATTTACAGAGCTTGAAGACAGAAGGCTTCGCACCTGTCTGGATGACCCCAAAGGAATGTCTCAAGGTCAAAAGAAAAGAGAAGAACTGTGTCTACCTATTTGACCCCTTTGAAGGACAAGCCTTTGACCACATCAAGAGTCTTTGCTGCAGGTTTGTTGGTGTCACAAGTCAGTGATTATTTTCAAAACAATTTTTTCCCACAGACATCAACTTAATACCAGTGAAAGATGGGGATATACAGTAATCACCTTTAGGGCTCTCAATTGACCGTTTACAGTACGTTTTGACTCTCCAGAATTAGCTTGGACTCTTGGACTCACAGGATATGTCAGTTTGACATGTGATTTGACTCTCAAAATTTAACAGAGAAAAAAGTTCTTGACTTCTGAAAGTGCCAAGAGTCAACTGAAAGCCCTGTCTTTGCCTGTTGATATCTCGTGAACCAATGATTTTTTTTTTATATAAAATTCATTAATTTTTGTACTATGACAAAATAGTCTATAATGTGCTATGCACAGGCCTACCTTCACCTCAGTATTAATGCCACAGCAAAAGTCAAATAGAAAACCACAAAACAATATTTGATGAAATTTTATCAATATTTTACCATGTTAATTAAGACAGTTTGTTACCTACCTGATGCAGGTGAGACCCCAAAGATCAAGGTCATGGAAAATGGCCGATAGTCAAAATAGCTGCAATGCTTGTCAGGATTGTAACTATTACTGAACAATTGAATATTTGCAGAAAGTTGATGTGTTAATTTATATGAATGTGTAAATTAAAAATGGATTTCTTAAAAATGTTGCTACAAAAAAACCCTCATGTCAGGCATATTGGGGGTGATAAAATAAGATTTCACAAAATAAAGTTTTACTGTTTGTGTTTGTAGAATCCTCGGTCCACAGTGTATCCTTGAATCGTTGGAATACAAGTTGGTGAGTATTAGAACTTAGAAGTCTGGTTCTGACGATAGGTCTAGAGTGTATAAACAGGAGGCACGGTAGTCTAGTGGTAGGACTCCGGGCTCGTGACCGAAGGGTTGCGAGTTCGACTCTCGTCACGGCACTATGTTGTATCTTTGAGCAAGATAATTTACTCTGCTTGTTGTATTCTACTCGGCTGTAAATGAGTACGTGGGTGGGTAGTGCTAGAATTGTAGAATGCTAGCTGTTAGTGCCGAAATGGCAGCACCCGCTGTATGCTCCCCAGGGAGTTGAGAACGATATTGGCTGGTGCAAATGCCCTATAACCACGGATAATAATTTGTGAACCGCTTTGAGACAACCTACGAACTAGGTTGTGATAAAGCGGTATATAAAAACCTCGAATTATTATTATTTATATAAGAAAATCCCGACTCTACATCTACAATAAGAGTATTCATTTTCTCCTACACTTCTGAGGTGCATTATACCAGTATTGCTAGGGAAAGATAAAGCTGAGTTTACCTACCGAGGAAAAGACAGCTCACATGTGCTGTTATTCTGAACATCACTATTGTGTCATCACTTCATGTAGCGTAACCAAGGTCACAAATTTCACTGTGTACAATGTGTATAATTCGTTATAGTGCAGTATAAAACCTTTTACTACTCTTGTAGTCTATTTGGTTATTACTCGACATACACAGGAATTCTAACCAACAAAAGTAGGTTTGCAGCATGGCATGACAAATTACTGACGAAGCTGGAGAAACCTACTTTCAGATATATTTTTTCTTTCTTTATTTTTATTTCAAATGTTTGACCATTTGTAGGAGATTCCAAGGAAGGCTCGTCCTGTGTATAACCTGGCCATGAGGAATGTGGTCGCCTGCTGCACCAACCTGGACAAACAAACAAGGGTAACTAAGAGCAGGATGATAGTTCCACTGCGTCTGCCAGAAAACAATGGCTTGTACATGGTTACAAACATGACTGATTAGCAGAAAAATTTAACAATGAAATGTTTCATGGGATTTTGTGACTGTTTCTATCTGTGTCAATTTCTCTCGGGCTCTTACTGTCCTTGTCAGTTTGGTCTGTGACAGTCTGGTCTGTGACAGTTTCAGTCTGTAACCATACATGTATGTGACTATAAATGTCTGTAACAAATTCTGTCTGTGACAGTTTCGGCCTTGACTATATAACGTGTGTGTGATTCAAACTGTCTTTGACTATTTCAGGATGAGGTGCACGAGAAGATTGAGCTGATGAGTGGCAGCGTGGGAAAGGATTTCACAGAGGCTGTGACCCACCTCATAGCAGGGGAGGTGGGCAGCAAGAAGTACCAGGTAACCACCAAGTAGCATGTGCTGGCACCAGGTTCCTCTCTTCTGTGAGGAAGAGGGAAGAGCCCTTGAAATTGTGATGACAAAATATACTTAAAGGATTTAAATCTAAGGCTGATATCTTATTTACCTGAATTTCCATTGTCATATTTTTAGCCCACCATCATCTTGTTATCGGTATTGCTGTGCAGGGCAACTTTTGAGACTGATCGGATAAACAACATGGCCGACAGGCAGCCATCTTGGATTTTGATAGTGAAAGTTTGTTATCGCTATTTCTCGGGAAGTATCAGAGGGATCTTTCCCAAATTTTAGATGTAGGTTCCCCTTGGTCCTTAGCTGTGCAGGGCAACTTTTGAGACTGATCGGATAAACAACATGGCCGACAGGCAGCCATCTTGGATTTTGATAGTGAAAGTTTGTTATCGCTATTTCTCAAGAAGTACCAGAGGGATCTTTCTCAAATTTTATATGTAGGTTCCCCTTGGTCCTTAGCTGTGCAGGGCAACTTTTGAGATTGATCGGATAAACAACATGGCCGACAGGTAGCCATCTTGGATTTTGATAGTGTGGGTTTGTTACCGCTATTTCTCCGGAAGAACTAGAGGGATCTTTCTTAAATTTTATATGTAGGTTCCCCTTGGTCCTAGCTGTGCAGGGCAATTTTAGAGACTGATCGGATAAACAACATGGCCGACAGGCAGCCATCTTGGATTTTGATAGTGAAAGTTTGTTATCGCTATTTCTCGGGAAGTACGGGAGGGATCTTTCTCAAATTTTAAATGTAGGTTCCCCTTGATCCCTCGTTGTGTATGTTATATTTTGAGACTGATCATAAAAACAAAATGGATTAAAAGAAGAACTAAACAGATCTTTCTCATATTGCAATGATCGATTCTATTTCTTTCACATTAAGTACTGTACTAGTAAATATGTGAAATGACAAACTCACTTTGAAGGTTGGCTTTCATACACATCAGTATTAAGTTTAGATCAAAAGTTACCTCAAGGTGCATTTACTGTTAACATGACTCGATCAAACAGATTAGAGGAAAGAAGAGAAAAGATCGAACTGACAAAGAACTAATGAAGATGGTACAAAGGTGGGCGCCAAGATCCCTTTGGGATCTCTTGTTATAGATTAAAATTAAAAAAGAAAGTTAAAAATAGATAATAATAAAAACAAATGTAATTAGAAGAGTAACTTATTAAAAAGTAATAAAATCATCCACAAAGCTCTATTTTGTAGATAAGTAAGAGTCCAGATTATATGCTATGTTTATCCAGTTTTTCCTACCCTACAGGTAGCAGCCAGTCTCGGGAAACAGATCATGTCAGCGGATTGGGTGTACAAAGTTTGGGAGATCTCTCAGACAAGGTAATTGTAAAAATAAAAATCCATATTACAACCTATTCAATCCAGGTAAACCACAATACAGAATAAACTGATCATGGTTCCTGATTAAACAGATATCTTATTACAGCGGCAGTTCAGTAAACCAAACGCCTTAGCTGTCTACAAATGATTATAATTATAAAATATACGCTGTAACGGAGTAAGATCCTTAATGTAGTTCAGTGGATCAACGAAGTTAACAAAATTTCTTTGTGAAGAGATTACATTTTATTTACTAACCTTAAATTCAAAATAACTGACAGCTCTTGTGATTCTTGCTTGGATTTTTAATTTAAATTCTCATGGCTTTGTTTACAGAGCTGTACATGGACTGGATGCCGGTCTAGATGAGTACCGTTGTCCAATCTTCAAGGGGCTTGTCATCACAGTGTCTGGACTTGACCCTCAGGAACGCAACGATGTCAAAAAACTCATCCACTCAGAAGGTAAGAAGAATAGTTCCTGGTGTCTTATGTTAAGAGACCTAAGTCTTCCTTTTATTCTGTAAAGATCAGTGTCTGCCTGTTTGTCATATAGCTTGTCCTACACGCTGCGCATAAAGTAACTAACATTATGAGTCCTGAAAAAATAATCTAACCAGAGATATAGCCAAAAACAGGTAACACTGATGGCAGATTTGGTGTATTTACCACCAATGTGTCAATTTACTTGTTTAGGGTGGCTTTCTAATTGCTCATACATGTCTTTCATGTTATTTTATAAAATATATCAACTGAAATGAAATCATTTCATGCATTAAATAATTGAGTTGATTTCGTCTACTTCATATAAAATGTTTGAGAGCTGATTCTTGAAATCAAGCCACTGTTTAAACTGGTTAAATATCACTTACAGGTGGGAAGTACACTGGTGAAATGAAGGTTAATGAATGCACACACCTGATTATCAACAAGCCTAAAGGTGAGCTTTCTTAGGACACAAAGGACCATGGGCGGAGAGGTTGTTTCCTAACAGTGGTTGGTTTTAAGTTTGACATCTTCACAACAGCTATGGTCAGATGATAATGGCGTCAACACCAGTTTATGTGTGATGACAAGGTGTCAACACATTGTCATCAGTATTCACACAACAGCTAAGGTCAGATGACAATGACGTCAACACCAGTTTAAGTGTGATGACGAGGTGTCTACAAATTGTCATCAGTATTCACACAATATCTAATGTCAAACGACAACAGTGTCGTCACCAGTTAAAGTGAGATGACAATGGTGTTAACACCAGTTAAAGTGAGATGACAACAGTGTTGACACCAGTTAAAGTGAGATGACAATGGTGTTAACACCAGTTAAAGTGAGATGAAAAGGTATCTACAAATTGTCATTAATATTCATACAACAGCTAAGGCCATGACAAAAATGTCCACACAGCACTGTCATCAAATGACCTTGTCTGATGGTTGGACACAGATGACATGATGCGAGGCAGTCATGAAGTTAGTGTCCACACAACAGCCAAGATCATATGATGACAGTGTTCACACAACAGCCAAGATCATATGATGACAGTGTTCACTGATGATGGGGCCACTTTAGAGTGCCACCAGACTGAATTGTCTTCTTTTTTTCTATAAGATTGAGACATACATGTATATTACCATACAAATAGATGTATTAATGACAGCACCAGATTTCCTCAAATTTGACATATTTTGAACAGGCTTGTCTTAATCATCAACTAAGCTTTCCAGCATTGTTTGTTAGGTACAAGTTCTGTAATTTCACATAGGGGATTTTCTGAAAAGTCTTTTTTTTCTTTTTCTTTTTTTTAACAACCAAATTTCATATGTCACATAAACTCCTCTCCAGAGCTAAAAATTCACTGTGATGATGTCACATATTTCATAAAATTAAAAAAAGTGTAATATTTTGTGATTGTAATTTTTGCATTGAAAATAATTACAAATTGACCCACAAATGTAATTGGTAAAACAATCATTTGAAGTGTCAGAACAAGAAAAGGGCTGTACCTTCATTTATGTATATTAAACAATAATTTTCTTTTTCTAGGTACAAAATATGAGTTTGCTAAGAAGTGGAAACTGAACATTGTGAGGACTGCATGGTTGTACGATTCCGTAGATAAGGGCTTCTGTCAGGATACAGAAAAATACAAAGTAATGGTGGATGACAAATCCCAGGCCAAAACCTCCACACCAGAGAAGGATGTTCCTCACAGTAAGTATAGTGTAGGGATGGATAGTTAGATCTCAGGCCAAAACCTCCACACCAGAGAAGGATGTTCCTCACAGTAAGTATAGTGTAGGGATGGATAGTTAGATCTCAGGCCAAAACCTCCACACCAGAGAAGGATGTTCCTCACAGTAAGTATAGTGTAGGGATGGATAGTTAGATCTCAGGCCAAAACCTCCACACCAGAGAAGGATGTTCCTCACAGTAAGTATAGTGTAGGGATGGATAGTTAGATCTCAGGCCAAAACCTCCACACCAGAGAAGGATGTTCCTCACAGTAAGTATAGTGTAGGGATGGATAGTTAGATCTCAGGCCAAAACCTCCACACCAGAGAAGGATGTTCCTCACAGTAAGTATAGTGTAGGGATGGATAGTTAGATCTCAGGCCAAAACCTCCACACCAGAGAAGGATGTTCCTCACAGTAAGTATAGTGTAGGGATGGATAGTTAGATCTCAGGCCAAAACCTCCACACCAGAGAAGGATGTTCCTCACAGTAAGTATAGTGTAGGGATGGATAGTTAGATCTCAGGCCAAAACCTCCACACCAGAGAAGGATGTTCCTCACAGTAAGTATAGTGTAGGGATGGATAGTTAGATCTCAGGCCAAAACCTCCACACCAGAGAAGGATGTTCCTCACAGTAAGTATAGTGTAGGGATGGATAGTTAGATCTCAGGCCAAAACCTCCACACCAGAGAAGGATGTTCCTCACAGTAAGTATAGTGTAGGGATGGATAGTTAGATCTCAGGCCAAAACCTCCACACCAGAGAAGGATGTTCCTCACAGTAAGTATAGTGTAGGGATGGATAGTTAGATCTCAGGCCAAAACCTCCACACCAGAGAAGGATGTTCCTCACAGTAAGTATAGTGTAGGGATGGATAGTTAGATCTCAGGCCAAAACCTCCACACCAGAGAAGGATGTTCCTCACAGTAAGTATAGTGTAGGGATGGATAGTTAGATCTCAGGCCAAAACCTCCACACCAGAGAAGGATGTTCCTCACAGTAAGTATAGTGTAGGGATGGATAGTTAGATCTCAGGCCAAAACCTCCACACCAGAGAAGGATGTTCCTCACAGTAAGTATAGTGTAGGGATAGACAGTTAGATCTCAGGCCAAAACCTCCACACCAGAGAAGGATGTTCCTCACAGTAAGTATAGTGTAGTGATGGATAGTTGGATCTCAGGCCACAGTGCAGAGGGAAGGTGTTTGATCTCAGAGACAAATTGGGGAAAGAGAATATCTCGGGGCTAAATCTCTACAATAGAAAAGGATGATCCCCAAAGTAAGTGCAGTTTAGGAAAGGAGAGTGTTGGTTCTCAGGCCTAAACCTCCTAACCAGAGTCCAATTTCCCCTCAGTAAGTACTGAGTAAGTGAGTATAGTGTCGTGTCTCTGACCAAAGGAATGAAGTTCTTGTCAGCATAAAATTACTGTAATTATAATAATAATATGTGATAATACATAAAATCTTGTTTCGGTGAAATATAGCCAGGTAGATTCTTATCCTTTTTTCCCTTAACAGCTCGAGCCTCCACCATTGCTGATCTGAGCTGTATAGCCAACGTTTCTGTAATTGGACACATCAATGAAACTGCAGCTACCACCAATATCCACACACACAAGTCATTTGAGGATACAGACACCACACTCAATGGTATTGACCTGACACAGCCTCCAGCCGACCTCTTTCTTGATGGGTGTAAGGTAAGATCCTTTCAGAAACATCTAACCATCCTCCCACAAATATCTATCGGTTCTCCCACAACAACCTACACATCCTCCCAAAAACATCTTTCCATCCTCCTACAAGCACCTACCTAGTCTCCTACAAACATCTATTCAATTTCCCCCCAAAATATCTATTAACCCTCCTGCAAACTTTCGTATCCACCCTCCCGCAAACATTTTTCCCCATCATCCCACAAACACAGACTATCCACTCTCACAGACGTATCTACTGATTGTCACATCATTGTTTGTAATAATAGTAATTGGAAGTATACTTTGAGAGGTTTGGATGTATATTGTTACTGTTTATTATTGTTCTGTAGATTTTCCTGAGTGGGTTTAAAGGTCAAGCACTGGAGAAAGTACGCAAGGTCATCAACGCAGGCGGGGGAACACGGTCAGTACCACAATTTTTTTTTAATATTTTTTTTTTTTTTTTTTTTTTTTTTTGGGGGGTTTTTTTTTTTTNTGGACTATTTTATTGTTTGCGAGAGGATGTTACTGTGTTTTAATAGTGGTCGAACATGATTGTGGTAAACTTTTTTTATCTTAAGAGTTTATATCCACATATTCATTGATGACCAGAGTCTATCACATCTATTGCGATTATGTGGAATGTTAGTTTCATTACATGTATGTAAGTGTTGTGATACAGTGAGATGTTGATATGATGTATTACCCACATAACTAGTTGATGGAACTCATTGGTTGTCATCCACTGATCAAATTGCTGGATTGATACAATGATGATATGGGTAACAGGGCATATATCACAGGTACAGTGAGAGACATTTGATTTCCCGTTTTATGATAAATATTTGACTGTTAATTGATGAATGGAGTATTTAAAGCAATTGAAATGCAAGAAATTAATCTATTTTTTTTTCATTTTTTAGTCTGAACCAGTTGAATGAGAATGTCAGCCATGTAATTGTTGGGGAACGTGTAGAAAAAGACATGAACCTTCTCAAGGAAGCAACATTTAGGTAAGACAACTTTAGCTAGCCCCATTACATTTAGGTAAGACAACTTTAGCTAGCCCCATTACATTTAGGTAAGACAACTTCAGCTAACCCCATTACATTTAGATAAGACAACTTCAGCTAACCTCATTACATTTAGTTCAGTAAAAACTGATTTGTTCTGCTCGTAATCGTAGAGTTACTGGTTTCATTTCCAGCGATGACTTTTTCGTAAAAATAATCTGCCGAAAAGACCAGCTGTAGACCACTGCATAGTCACACAAAAACACGGGCAGAGCTAAAAGTCTACCTTAAAGTAACTTAATTCGTATCCAATTGTTTGAACATGGAGATAGTGGAATACCTTGTAATCTTATTGACTTACAGTACTCTGGTTTGAGTAAAATGCAGTGACATTGATACAACTGTCCATAAGTAAAATCAATAGTATTCATAATCACAGACATTCTATGTGCATTCCTGATTGTAACAATTTTTTTTGAATTTTGAATTTGTTAATAAGATATTGAAGTCATTCTCTGTTTAAAAATTTACTAATTCATTTTAAAAGACATCAGATGGATCTTAATAAATAAGGGAGGTTATTAGTTCGTAATAAATCTGAATCTGAATTGGGATTTCATGTCACTTCAAGTGTAGAATAGCTGTTGGATGGCTATGATGTTGTGGTTTCAGACCCCATGTTGTCGGAGCAGTCTGGCTGGCCGAGTGTTACAGACAGGGACATGCGGTGGAAGAACAACCATACCTTTGTCCGGAGTTTGCCTCAGATCTGCCGTTGTCACCCAAAACTAAAGGGTAATGATTTTACATGTTAGAATTACTGTTGACCGGGAAAATTTCCCAGCAGATTAATTTTCACCCTTTTCATTCACCCCTCACAATGATGGCGAATATATCATGACAGCCAATGTAAGTAAACAGCGTCTATAAATGATTATTACACGTCTTGGTTGTTGCTTGTATTTACAGCATATTCTTTTCCATACTGAATGCAATCAGGTAGATGAGTGAGAGCCAACACCAAAGTTTCTGTGGTAGAATTTATTGAGTTGACATGGCTAGATAGTTTGCAGTGAAAAATAATTCTATGTTTTCCTGGGGGGGGGGGAAGGAATGGATATCCCATTTAGTAGGAAAGAAACTAGTTCTACTGTCCTAACTTTAATTATCAAAGAGCAAATGGGAAAATCTTGACTAAAACAAGGCCAATACATATAATTTCAATATTAAAAATATACATATATATATGGATGGACTTTTCATGTAAATTTGAATTGAAAGTGAATTCAATGACCAAAAAAGAATTTAAGAAATAAATTTACTTTTCCGAGTAATAAGAATCAAGTCTTCATAAGATAAAGTATTTACATCAGCCTCAGGTACGAGTCTCATCTGTCAATACACCTATAATATAATCAAGGTTGCTAACTCCGTCCCCCTAGTAAAATGACCCAGTTCCTGATTGGCTTCTTAATTTAACGGAACAATCAGCGGTGAGGTCACAAAAGTTAGAGAAAATGTCAGGCTCTGTTCAGATTTCCGATTATCAGCCTGACCAGCTTGAAAACTGGACTCGGGTGTCTGACATGATAATGTTAGGCCATGAACTGTCATACAAGTAAGCTTGTTTCCTATCGTAGAAACACTGTACCGACATTGAATAGCGAACATGTCGTGTGTTTTGCGCTACCCACTAGGGATTTAGCATGTCACCTCGTGGACAGCGCAGTGTCCGACCTACTGAAATTCAACCATTTTTCCATGTTTCATGAAGTCTACCGAAAAATATACTGCATGATAGATGGCAAATCATACATCAAATTAAAGAAAAAATATTTTCCTGTCAATCTAGACTGCTCCCGGCCTCATATTATGAACGGTTATGACAAAATCGCATGTTTTTTGGAACTGGGTCATTTTACTAGGGGGACGGAGTTAGCAACCTTGATTATTAGCTCGCCTGGCACGAAGTGCCAAGTGAGCTTATTCCGTGGCGCGTCGTCCGTCCGTCCTCGTCCGTCAATTTTTCCTTTAAACAACTTCTTCTGAAGAACGGACAGGCCTAGAGTCATGATATTTGGCTGAAAGCTTCGTTGGTAGGAGCCCTACAAAGTTTCGAGAACGAAAATGACCTTGACCTGTTTTCAAGGTCACAGGGGTCAAATATGTCAAACACTTCAAACGACTTCTTCTGAAGAACTAAAAGGTATATAATCTTCATATTTGGCTGATGGCTTCCTGGGATAGAGCCCAACAAAGTTTGAGAATGAAAACTAGTTTGACCTACTTTCAAGGTCACAGGGGTCATATATGTCAAAAACTTCAAACGACTTCTTCTGAAGAATCAAAAGGTATATAATCTTTATATTTGGCTGGTGGCTTCCTACAGATAGAGCCCAACAAAGTTTGAGAATGAAAACTAGTTTGACCTACTTTCAAGGTCACAGGGGTCAAATATGTCAAAAACTTCAAACGACTTCTTCTGAAGAATCAAAAGGTATAGAATCTTCATATTTGGCTGATGGTTTCTTGGGATGGAGCCCAACAAAGTTTGAGAATGAAAATTACCTTGACCTTCTTTCAAGGTCACAGGGGTCAAATGTGTCAAACACTTCAAACGACTTCTTCTGAAGAACTGAAAGGTATATAATCTCTATATTTGGCTTGTAGCTTCCTAGGAAAGAGCCGAACAAAGTTTGAGAATGAAAATGACCTTGACCTTCTTTTAAGGTCACATGAGGCAGATATGTCAAACACTTTAAACGACTTCTTCTGAAGAACTGGTAGTTATAAAATCTTAATATTTGGCAGGTGGCTTCCTGGGAAAGAGCCAAACAAAGTTTGCGAATGAAAATGACCTTGACCTACTTTCAAGGTCACAGCGTTCAAATATGTCAAACAGTTCAAACAGCTTCTTCTGAAGAATTAAAAGGCATAAAATTATAATATTTGGCTGGTGACCTTCTTGGATAGAGCTCACCAAAGTTTGCAAATGAAAATGACCTCAACCTACTTTAGAGGTCACAGAGGTCAACAACATTTTAATGGATTTGTTCTTGAGAACTAAAAGGAACGGATTCATAAGATTTGGCTGGTAGCTTTTTGGAATAGAGCTAACCAATTTGAGAAGGAAAATGACATTGACCTACTTACAAGATCACAGGGAAAATTATGTCAAGCAACTTCTAAAGAAGAATCAAAAAGCATAGAATCTTATAATAATATTTTGCTGGTAGTTTCAACAGATGGAGCCAACAAAGTTTGCGAGGGAAATATTTTTAGTGCAATATAATATTTAATGAGAATATTTTGCTATGACTGCTTAAATATTCAGGTGAGCGATACAGGCCCTCTTGGGCCTCTTGTATTATAGGTGTACAATTGACAGACGAGGCTAGTACCTGTGCATTATCCAGACAGAAATTGTGAAAGTAGGAAATGTGTTAAGCTAAACCTTTAACAGGTTCTTAATAACAATCAGCGTTTTGCAATATTTAATTGTTTGACAAGTTCCATATAAAGTAGTGGAAGAATTCATTAAACTTTATCCAAAATTGCAGTGATTACGACAACTGTAAACTGCACAAATGTTTATACCATCTGGTCTTGATACTGTTTGTCAATATAGTCTTGAAATATTGCAGGAAGTTGACAGCTAAGGAGCCTTCTCCAGTAACGAAAGACAAAGTCCCCGAGGCTGACAACCAGGACGCAGATATGGAGGACATCATGAGTCAATACCTGCTGCAGGCAGACCATGGTAAGCTGGTCACAAGGCTTAGGGAGTGGTAGTCACAGGGCACATTGATTGATAGGACCATGATAAGCTGGTCACAAGGCTTAGGGAGTGGTAGTCACAGGGCACATGGATTGATAGGACCATGGTAAGCTGGTCACAAAGCTTAGGGAGTGGTAGTCACAGGGCACATGGATTGATAGGACCATGATAAGCTGGTCACAAGGCTTAGGGAGAGGTAGTCACAGTGCACATGGATTGATAGGACCATG